ATGAGGCATGTGTAATTGGCCACGAGAGGGCGCCCACTGCACGGATGTTTTCGGCCAGAAAGGGCATGAAACACTATGCAGTTTCTCGGCAAAAGATCTCGGCCGTCAAATTCTCGAATGCTACACACTCATTATTGGAATTAACAACTGGAATCAACTTGGATTTAAATGCGCCGAAAAACCGCTGCGCGCATGTAGTTTTTCGCGCGCGTGAGGAATTGCTCGTTTTTACGCTGGTCGCAATATATTATTAACTGTAAATCGCATTAGAGTTATTAGTGAATAATCAATGCGCTCTTTAGAGAACGCGCAAGGCCGTCGCTACCGCTATCGCAGTAGTTCTCCTCATGAAAACCCGTCATGATACCACTTACGAATCAGTATAAATGTGCTCATGTCGCAAACCCGCGCGATATCAATTAGACGGCAATTCTCTATGTTCATAATTAATTTCCCGAAACACTCCAGACGCTTGCGGCGAAGTTCAAGAGAAGTTCGAGCATTTCAAGAGCTCATCGCTTACAAGGATTTCCTGCCTGTCAGACGAGAACGCACGCACGGCGCATCGGCTGAATCGATCCGTGTTGTAGGGGGGGGGGGGGTCTGTCGAAAATAATCGCGCGTCCCACGTCCCGTGGACCAGCTAGAGTCCAGCTAGTCTAAGTGAGTGATTGCGTCATTCCTGGGCATCTCTGCGTCCATGCGGAAGCAGCAATGTGACGGGTGTGCATCACGCCGTGGCTCAGACAAGATTAGCTATAGCGTACGATTAGCTCTGCGCAGGACATTCCCCTGGTTTAGGTGATATTTCAATGGCCAAGGTTCAACTATGAGTACGTGAAGCGCAGTCAAATGAAATCGCAACTGTATTTATTCGGTGCATGCACCCTTGACTGTAGGAATGAGTTCCACGTAGAACGGATAATACTGGAGTTACGATTTATTTAATAGTGAACGTGCAGTAAAAACAAAAATACAACTAGAAATTAGTGGAGCTAGGTAAGCTTAATTAACGAACACTATAACCAAGAAAATGCCGAGAGGCTAATCGATAATCGATCAATTTTTAAAAACAATTCCACACAATCGGTAGTCTAGCCAATATCGATACTAGCCACGCACGAGAATGAGAAATGCGCAGGAAAAGCTTACGCAACCCTTGATGGAAATCTGTGATCGTATAAATCTACTGAATAAAGTTTCCATTACATATGTAATGGCAGTGTCCGTTCCTGAGCGGACACACGCGAGCACACCCACTACAAACGCTCAAAACCAACCATGCAGCTACCGTCTACCGACACACCATCGCTCCACGTCTCACTATGCAGCAGATATTGAGTCACCGGACGTCTCACTACACATCCATCCTCAACGCACACTTACAAATACTGTTCTTCCAACTACACATGCCCCCATCGCCGCCAAAACACTACCTCTCACTATTCATTCTGTTTCTCATACACCCTCCACAGCCACTCAAATACTCCACCTTCCACCACACATCTACCCTCTACAGCCACTCAAATACTCCACCTTCCACCACACATCTACCCTCTACAGCCACTCAAATACTCCACCTTCCACCACACATCTACCCTCCACAGCCACTCAAATACTCCACCTTCCACCACACATCTACCCTCTACAGCCACTCAAATACTCCACCTTCCACCACACATCTACCCTCTACAGCCACTCAAATACTCCACCTTCCACCACACATCTACCCTCTACAGCCAC